TTCAGACTTCCGCTATGCTTGTGTTTATTTTCGAACATGCATGATGCTATTTTCAGACTTAAATAATTTTACCCGGTTCGCCAGTACGAACGGGTCCAGACTAATATGCATGATTCGTAAAAATATAAACCTGAATTCTTTAAGTCTAAACCAGTTGTTAGACCTAGGTTAAAGAAACGGGTTTTTAAGCAGAAAAGTCCTTAGCAGCATCCCGAGATAGTTTGCAAATGATTTCGAAAAATTTATAAGCGTTTTCGAAAGAGTTAAAATTTGCGAAAAATTGGCCCTAGTTAGCGGGGTGTTGCAAAAACAGTAATCGTAAATATGTTCAGGTATGGTCGCAGCATGTATACGAAACAATCAATTATCCCAATCTCCAAACAATCATATCAATAATAGACTCATGTGCGCACCTACGCATAGACTACTGTTGGTAGACATATCGAATGCCTTCGTTCAGGCCTTACATCAACTACCCAGCCAGTAGGAGTATCCCCCCGTCGGCCGAGCACCGCCCTGGTCTCACAACAAGAAACCGACCGAGCACAGCCCTGGTCTCATACCTCCGACCGAGCACAGCCCTGGTTTTACAGGCGCAAAGAACCCCACGAGTTTCGTTTCATAAATACGGGGCAACCGTTCGACGGCCGATACAGCTCACATGGAAGGATACATGTTCCACATGCATACTTTGATCATACCGTAATTAAAACAGTAATAACATTTAAGACCCACAAATTATACGTTTATAACATTTACAGCATAACCAATTTTAGAATAACAACCCACCTGGTAAATCAGTAGAGAAGTCACACAAACAGGTTGGTAGGTTGAGGGCTCGACTCCTCAAACACCTACATTAAGTCCAGATGCTATAATCAACATCTATTCTTACTTAAATGAAAATCACACTAATTCTTAGCCGAACTTGATTCGACTAAGTTGTTTTGAAGCCTTGTGGACGTTGGAACACTTAGACTCGACGGCCGGTACAGCTCACATGAAAGGATACATGTTCCACATGCATACTTTGAGCATATCGTAATTAAAACAGTAATAACATTTAAGAGCCACAAATTATACGTTTATAACATTTACAGCATAACTAATTTTAGAATAACAACCCACCTGGTAAATCAGTAGAGAAGTCACACAAACAGGTTGGTAGGTTGAGGGCTCGACTCCTCAAACACCTACATTAAGTCCAGATGCTATAATCAACATCTATTCTTACTTAAATGGAAATCACACTAATTCTTAGTCGAACTTGATTCGACTAAGTTGTTTTGAAGTCTTAAGGACGTTGGAACACTTAGACTCGACACTAAGACTCAACCAAATACACATGGGAGTTCACATAATCCAACCGTTTTAATTGCAAAAGCCATATATTTAAAAATACTAGATTTAAATCACAAAAATGAGTTGATCAGGTTATCATACGAATTTAACTCTAAAATTTTAATCAAAATTTCACCTCCCAGAGTTAAGCAAAACCACAAATTTTCAGCCCCAAACTCAAAGCACGCTATTTTATGAAATTCAAGTAAGTTTATGGCAAAAACGAGCATAAATTGTCAACCAGAACAAATGAATGGATTAAGCCATGAAAATTTTACACAAGCAGTAACAGCATGAGAACAGTAATTTTGAAAATTAGAACTAGCTTCTGCTGATTTTAAATTTTCAATAAGACCGAACCAAAATGAATCCAAACAAATCTCATCTTTTTGTATGCTGATACTCATCACAAAATGGACGTAGTCATAAGTTTTCAGCAATTTAGAACAACAGATCAATTTATTAAAATTAAATTATGAAACTGCAGAATAATAAATAATTTTTAAACATAGCAAACGAAGTCCAAAATTTCCAAAAATTTTATACAACATATAAAACATACAGGAAGACAACATACTCAAATTTCATAAACTTTGGAGCACAACTCAATTTAATAGGCATTTATCAAGATTTTTCTCAAAATTTCATACAATTATTAAAAATAGCTATACTTAACATTTTAATCCGACATTTTTACACAACATGTATTTTCCACAGACGGACCAGCGCATAAAATTTCACGGCTATATGAGCTGCATACAATTTATCATAATTTTCAAAAACAGCCACATAACATGCTCGACAATTTCTCTAGGATTCGTTTTACGACGAATTCATCCAAAGTCTTCGCCATAAGACTAAGGACGATATAACGTTCCAATCCACAGCGACTAATTCACGAGTTGACGAGGTCTCGTTCGATTTTTTTCAAAATAAAAAAGCTAGTCAACGCAGAATTACACATTCGACACATAAATTCATAGGCATCAATACACATGTATTATCGAATGCGTTCAATCACAACAAATAATCACAACATAACCGACACATATAATTTAACGTGACGGGGGTTCTAGCCTTGTACCGTTCTCGGGATTCGTTCAAAAAATGGGGAGACGAGAGTCGACTGGCTCGAACGGCTACACGCAGTTCACGGGAAAAAGACGGCGACCTGAGCTCACGAAAACGGAGGCGCTGCGATGCATGGACGACTGCTGCTGAGGTGCTTGTCGTCGCGGTCTCGTCGCGGCAGAACAGTCGTCGAGTTGCGGGGCTCGCCGGGAGACTTACGAGGGTGCTGCGTCGTGAACGGAACTCGCCGAAATTCGTGAGGTTGCTGCGGTGGTGGCTCGTGGTCGCGGATGTTGCTGTGCGGGGTCAGAACTCGTCGGAAGTCGAGTGATCGTGGGGAACGCTACTCGTGACGACGGGGTTGCTGGACTTCGTCGGAAGTGGTCGTCGGAGTTGCAGGTTCTCGACGTGATGATGGCAACGGGAATATTCAAAGGAAAAGGTGATGGTGCGGGGTGAAGGTGAGGGACCAAGGTGATGATTGGGAATCGGGACTGAGAAGGTTAACGAAGATGACGATGGTGGGATTTTGTAATGCCCCGTTAATTTATGAATAATTATGGGATTATTTTTATTATTTATTATATTTGTCTGAATTAATTTAATTATTTTATTTATGCTCGTAACTGTCTTGATTGTTTATTATTATAGATAAATAAATAATCTGTGTAATTAATAAATATTACCAGTATCATTTTTTTTCGCCATGTCGAGCCGGGCCTCGAATAATTTTTGAGTCGAGCCCGAGAGAAACCAATCGATTTGGGTATTTTTCCGTAACCATTTTGGGACCATTTTCGCTAGTCCATTTTGACAAATATATTCGGCCCAAGATTATTCCATTAGCTAACCCTCGGTACGATTTTAACCGGACCCTTATACGATTTTGGCTCCATATTTTTCCAATTAAATTCAAACCCTTCAATCTACTTTTTGAAGAATTTTAATCAGCCTTGATGGCCATGAATCAACCGAATTACACCATTTCAACGCCAATAAAAATCTCATTAATGGTGGTATGATTTAATCCTTTGATTTCTTTTAAATCAAGGTCACTTCATATTTTTTTTTGTTTCTTTTTAAACACATGGAAACTGAGACAATATATTCACCACCATCCTCAACCGGTTTTCGCGAGAAACGTACCCAACATCACCTTCTTCTTCCTTTATCACACGTTTGTAACATCAGAAAAGAGATAATCCTCACCCACTTCTCATAATCCAATCGCCACCATCACCTTCGATCCTCCCTGACTGAAACCACCAGACGCGGCTGAGACCCCGTTCTTCCAATGACTGAGTCTTCACGGCAACATGACGAGGTCCCTAGCAGGCCGAGAGGAACTTCGGTCGTAAAGCGACGTCCGTGACCTGATACGAGCCCCCAACGACCAAAGCTCCAGAATTTCCGGCTAGCCCTCCTTCCCCGAGTCCCAACTGCCATTAAATCCGGCGAGAGCGACCAACGGCGTGAACCAGCGTGACCCTCCAGCGGTTCACACGAGCAGGTCCTCCTCCCCGGTGAGTCACTCCTCCGCGTGCAGCAAACCAACGGCCTCGAGCACCTCCGCAAGCGGTTTTCCTCAGGCCCAACCTCCGGTGAGTTCACCCCCACTTTCGGCGACCACCACGAGTGAGCCCGACGTCATTTTCGGTGAGTTGCTGCCGGCGTGAAGCAAACCCACGGCCACCCTCGTTTCCTTTCCGTTATTCCGAGTTCCGTTCGCGAGCCGATTCCCGACCCGTTCGGCTGACCCGTCGTTCGGCCCGTTTTTCTTCCATCAGCTCGTAGATATTTGAAAGCGAGTAACTTATTCGAATCTTCTCGTTATTCCGGTCGTGCTCTTGTATTACATGATAGATAAATTTATCATATGTGTTATCGAATTCTTGCTTGAAGTCGGAATTCATTTCGAATTGTTTACCGGCTCGTATATGTCGTTTCGTTTATCGGGTTATGCTCGTGACCTCGTTAAACCGAATATCCTGTTATTGCTGTATTGAACCTCAATGTACTCGTTTATTTGCTATCGAGAAAGTATATTGATCGTTGTCGAGTTTCGAACCATCCGTTTTGTATTCATTGGTATTTTATGTGAAAATACGTCATTCGCTGATCTGTTGTGCCGCGTTTTAAGCCATATGAGGCTAGTTATTTGAAAATGTGTTATCATATGAAATTTAGTATGTTTAGTTTGCTAAACCTGGGATTTGGAATTTCTCGATTCCGAGTTATATCGAATAAGTTGTGATTTTTACAAAAATGTTGCGCGTCCAGTTTTCCTGTTACCCGGCAGCATGTCTATAATTAAAATATGATCTGTTTATACTCTTCATGAAAGTTTTCCTATAATATGCTCGTATGATTTTATACTCTTCATGAAAGTTATAGGTCTGTTTCTTGCCTTTCAAATGAAACAAAATTTCATGTCGATAAGTGCTCTGTAGCTGGAATTGTGCTCGTATGAAGTTAGATATGCATGAGTTGGGACTTATTACTTTGGCAGACATCTGATATAGAATGTGAACTGATTTTACCCTATCAAAATGATCTTAAATTCTTCTGTGTTCTAAAAGAAAGTTGTAGAAATATGCTTAAGTTTTAATTAGAGACTTGAACCATGTCATTTGGAAGTTTTTACCTCTATCTAGGTTGTAAACACTGAGGTGTTGTCCATAACACATGTTAGTTTTTACAGATTTTCTGAACCAAATGTTTTGTGTTTAAACTCATCGAAAATGTGTTTATATGTCAAAGTTACCTTCAGCAAAGTTGTAGATATTTGAGTTTCCTATTATGTGGCTTTTGAAATTCATTAAAAGCATGCCTGTTGCTCCAGTTAGATGATAATTACTGAAGTCTGGTCAAGTTTATTTTCCCAGTTTTGAACTGTGACTCAAATTTTAATGTTTGTTGTTTTATCACCTGTTAAATGATCTTTTTTGCATTCAGTCGCTTCATAAGAATTGTATATTAATGTCTTAGGATTCCAATGCAACTTGATTCATGTTCATATGAGTTGTGTGCTGAACGTTTTGTCGGTTTTAAAAACGCTGCCCGGGTTAAGTTTTCAAAACTTATGTGATATTTTCGGAAATGTGTCTCCCTTGATTTAATGTATGCTTAAATGTTTACGTGAATTTAGTTGGACTAAGTAATTTCCGAATAGTCTTTGATAAGGCTACTTTACTAAATGTAGGTGTTTGACGAGTCGACCTCGCCGCCTACCCTTATTTTGTGTTTATTCCGATCGCTACCAAGTGGGTCCATTTAAGTTGAATCTACATTTATCGCACTCGTTATTTCGTATAAATGTTTGTCGCAATAGCTTTTGTATGCTTGAGAACCCTAGTCTAAGTGTCCTGACGGTAGTGCCTTTGACGAATGCATAATCAGTGAAAGTCACCTGCCCGTTGCATCCGGGAGGTGTGCGCCCGAATCCGTGTAGAGCGGAGGGGATTGTCTGAACGCCCGAATCTGTGTAGAGCGGAGGGGTAATTCAACTTCACTGTCTCCTAGATAAGATCCTACGCCCGTTGCATCCGGGGTGGGAGTGTTTCCAGTTACATCCTCGACGATGTCTGGTCGGGAGGTTTGTTGTATGTACATAGGAGGTTTGCGATAGGGCCTAATAGGGAGTTAGATCTGGATTCTATGCATACATTATTTATAGTTATGAATCTTTATGCGAAAAATACTGTGAGGTAATGGTGAGTAGGATGGTTGTACTCACCCTCATTTACTTTTATGTTCCTATTGTTCCTTTTCCTATCTTTTTAGGTTGAGCATTGGTTGGCGGCGGTAGCGAGAGACGATCAAGTGGTGGTCGTTGGATTGCGTGTTACTTGCTTCTGTTTTTCTTTTTATTATCTCGATCGACCATTTGTTAAACTTTCAATAATTTTGCTTCCGCTTTACTTATTTCGAACATGTTAGAATATTTACTTATGCATGACTGGGTTTGAGGATTTGAATATTTGGAATTTATTTTGAACTGTTAGATTTTATCTGTGTAAATGTTTAATTGTTTTAGTGTTTAAGTAACGCCCGTTGAATATTAAAGTTTTAAATTGGGATTTTGCGAAAAATAAACTCTGATTTTTATAAATAAATTCGGTAAATTCTTTAAAATAAAACGGGGCGTTACAGTATGGTATCAGAGCTAGTCTGCGTTTCTGTAGACTATCTCTAGTGTTGGTGTGTTTAATGACCCTTCGACCACTCGCTTTCGTCTCGCCGCGCCAGCTCGAGGTATGAGTTTTGTTGTTTTATTTATTTTATATGGGGCTTAGGACTATCCACCTTTGTTTTAATTTGAATTCTAGTGTTTGGTGATGACTCTAGAATTTTCTCTCCGTAAGTTTCGAACTAGCACCTTGTGCGAGCTATCTCGTCGATAGACGAGATTTGCGTTTATACACCATAGTTTTCTGGTGACCAACGTCAGGATGCCTCGTCAAGATTAGAGAACCGAGAGGTCCCGAATGTACGGGATCCCTCGAACGTCCGGGGCAGTTGACAAGTGGACTAGAGGAGGCATGGTGGAATCCAATCATTGGAGTATGAGGATTGGAATTTAGTGCTTCGAACGTGTTGTAGATCAAAACCAAGAGTTTCGATGACCGATTAAGCATTACTAACGTGATTCTCGAAGACGGCGAAATCTCGAGGAAAGCGATGGCTACTTTTTATTGCGTGGATTATGAACGGTGACCGCGAAGGCTGCCAGTTTGACGGAATGAATCCATAAAGTCAAGTGGATCTAGCATACTGTATACGCAGAGTCCTAACTCGACTATTCTGTTATCGTTCGCTATGCCGACTACTGGCATTGAGGCCAAAAGAGGATCGTGTCGTTTCATTTCAAGTGTGAATGAAGGAGATTGGGGATCTTCACCAGATAGGATCAACGGTGGACGAATGTGGTTGAATCCTCACGTGGATGAACTCTTCTGCTCGACATTTGGTCAATACAGAGGGAGAATCCCATGAGTATGCTCTCACTTAGGACGAGGATGAATTGATCAAAGAGTGGACAACTGACCGGGAAATCGAGATCGTGTGTTGTCTATTAATCTTTCCGTTTTTCGTGTTTTATCTTTCAAATTGTTGTGCAATTCCTGTGTTTGATACTGGAAACTAACTTTGTTTAGAGACTTTGTGTACAAAGAAGGATAAGCATATTTGTTTTCTGTTAAACCTTATTTGTCGCAAGGTTTGTGATTTTTGTTTGCGATAACTCCGAGTCCGTGTACTCGAGTTGGCGCAAGCCACTATGGTATCTTGACCTAGAGGCCACCGATGGTCATTTATCTGGTCGTAATTAAATCGTAGGTCGCATCGAAAATGGTTTTCCCCGAGCGGGAGTCGTCGACTAATTCAAGGAAGGTGTCTTACCTTAAAGGATTATGAAGGATCTTTTAAGGAGGGTAGTCGAGCCTGGAGCATGTGCATTGTGAAGCGTAGAACCGCTTCTATTCTCGAACTTGCGTTTCGTTGTAACTTTGACAAATTTTCATTCTTTTATTTTGTTTTGGCCTTCGGAGAAACCTTTCACTTCCTTGAACTTTTGCAAAATCTTTGAAAACCCTTATCTTTGTTTTCATGTTCGCTTGGATTTTCGAGATCAAGTTTTACGACCTGATGTACCAGCTTTCTACTTGTCTTATATCATTCTTTTAGTTGGGTTTGTATATTCCATTCATTCAAACCAATTAATTTTTATCGTTATCGAGGACGATCTGGACCATTCCCAAGACGCACCAATCATCTGGGTGCACCTAGGCGTTGTCCGGAGGATCAACTAAGAAGGCCACCAGATGAGCAAGGCGAGTTGCAACCAACCTGAACTTTGGAGGAGCCGATCTATTTCATGGCAAAGAATGCTGCACATCGACAACTGTAAACCTAATCGATGAAGGATGATCAACTACTATCGCGAGGAAAAGACCTGTTCAATCAACTGAGAGCAACTGCAAAATCTTTGAAACCGATTCAAGGCCGAGGTACTGTCAACCGAAGATCGAGGAGTGGACCTATCAAAACGGACTCTGGAACCCGACGAGAATATCTGTAATCGAACAGTGATTCTTTTGTGCTAAGTACCGCAATGACGACTGTGACAAAATGTCTGGTTGTAATTCTGTAGCGACGGCATAGTCCATCTCTAAGAACGCCGATACGTAGCGAAAATACCCAAAGACGTGATCGAGGTCTTTTCGATGAAAGAAACTTCTCGCCTAGACCTTGAGGTGTGAACTCTGGACAATGCAGATGAGTGGAGCTCATTCAGGACTGCTGGCACGAATAGCTATCGGAGGAAGAGCTGACGTGACGGCCGACGCTGTTTATCGGAAGAGCCGCAGTGAGCTAGCTAGTTGGTGTTTCAGAAAGAGAGCCGCTGACCTAGTACCATTCTCGACTGGAAAGAGCCGCATTAGATTTTCCTTTGAGGATTTTTGCCTATCTCTAGCATTGGGTCTTGTTGCTTGTTAGAGTGTGTTGTTGGAATAAGGTAGTGGACTTAGAACTCGGTTTTATACCCTGTTATTTTTTAGACCTTGAAACTTTTG